CACCCCCACCCCCGCTTGCTGACAGCCCGTCAACCAGGAAGATAAGGGACCTCTTCCGTCGGGCTGGGGGGAGGGGGGAGTCAGGAGGGGTGCTTAGCCCAGGTGTATCCTCCACCCTCCCGACGCCTATTTGCTCGGAAAACACTTATTGAGCCCCTGCTGTGTGCACTGCGGCAGGGGCGGGGCACAGCTGCTGCCAGTGGGGCAAGGCGACAGTGAGGGGCTGGCTGGCCTGAGCCACTTCTGTTGCCTGAGCCACTTCTGTTTTGGATGCCTGGCTCCCCAGGAGAGTGGAACGGAGGCTCTGCCACCTCCTGACCAACCTTGGGGTGGGGGGAGGGATGTAGAAGTCCTCCGTAGGCCCCTTCCAGCCTGGGGAGGTGAGGGGAAGCCTAGAGCAGGCCCCTCACTGGGTGGAAACCTAAGTGGGTCCGGTGTAGACCAGGCCTAGGGAAGGTCTGGAGGACCGAACCCCTGGCCGTGTCATGGGGGCGGGGGGGGGCGCTCTCGTAGCCCAGACAGAGCAACAACATTAGGGTGGGTGGCAGAGCCCTGGGGGCCCATAGCTCACTGCACAGTCTGCGCCCACCCCTGACGTTTCCGATGGAAGACAGGCAGCTGGTGATAAATCACCAGCTCCCACCCACCCAGGCCACCATGGGGAAGGGGGGGGGCTGCATAGGACAGAGACAGAGCCTGAGACAGAGACAGGCCTTAGAGACAGAGAGACAACGACAGAGAGAGACACAGGCAACTATGGCTAGCTGGCTGACACAGGCCAGGTCCCTTTGCTCAGGGTATCTGGCCTCCTACCCCCAAAAGCCCCTCCACCAGGCCCATCTGGAAACCAGCTGAGAGCCACCCCACCCCAGCCGACCCCAAACAAGGAGGAGGAGGAAGCCCGGAGCAAGGCCTTAGCAGGCTAACTCCCTTCAACCCTGGAGGGACCATAAATCAGCAGGGGGCTCTCCCTCCACTCCTCCCCAGGCTAAGGAGGTCTTCGGGGTCACTGATCCTGGTGACTGGGCCTGGCCTTAGCTGTGTCCCTCCCTCCTTAAACAGCTCTTGGGGCATCCCCTGGCTCCACCCTCTCTTTTCCCCCAGCAGTCACATGCCCAGAGCTGTCTACACCCAGTGCAGTCTACACTGGATGCACACTCTTACCACCCTCATCTTCTCTATCTGCAGACAGGAAATGTCGCAAGGAGACATCCAGTCCTATCAGGAGACCCATGGGCTGGCCCCACAGGAACTGGGGGTCAGTGGTCCTCCTCAGTGAAGCCTTCCTAGGGTCCACTCTACCTCAGGGGAAATGCCATCTCTCTCTCTCTCTCTCTCTCTCTCCTTCGACCTGCCTTTCTATCACCACCACCCACCCCACCCCAGGGTGCTGAGGCCAGCTGGACAAAGGGTGCCAAGAGATGGGCCAGGTGGGGCCACCTCCACAGGTGTGAGCACCCCTGCGGGGAGCATCAGAAACTTGGTGGGTGAAGCTTGAGAGAGCCCATAAGAGTGCTCCCAAAACCTGCAGGGTGAGCTCAGCACCCCCACTGCCCAGAACCCCAATCTGAGCCAGGCTGGCCTCAGTGATCCCTGCCCCAGGGGTCTGTCCTGTAGACAACCCCTCAGGGCTCATGTGGCAGAGATCAGATCACCTGTACACAA